TTACCAGTTCCCATCGGTGATCACCGACTTTCCCCGACTGTACAGTAAAGCTCACGCAAGTACGTAGAACAATTCGAAGAAGGTGGCAGCTTGTTACCACGAACGACCAAGAGGATTCTCGAAAGTCACTTTCCAGATTGGTCAATTTTCGCGGTAAGTGGTCGACACCTGGGTGTCCGTGCAAGGCCATGTGCTAACTCGTTCCTCGCGAGACTTCGGGCTCGCGTCTGACCGTTTACTAGCACGCGAGAGCGTTTATGAAATTTTAAAAAACGAGGAAGTCCAGACTTCTAACGATATCCTCGATAACCTGGCGATTCGTTGCAATCATTAATGAGCCCAGGATTGTTATTAAGGTCGCAAGCCGGCTGGGGCCGTGATAAGGTCTAAAAATTCCAAGGCTTTGGTTGTCGTTTACCGACACGCGAGTCTACCACCCGGTCCACGATTCGATTCGCCAGCCGTGGTTCGCGATCGAACTGTTCTGGGCGTGGTACCTCTCGAAAACGGTCACCGATTGGCGGAATTTTGGGATCGAAATATTTGTGATGGATCGTAAAAGTTTCCATGTGTTTTGCTATACCTGACTTTAATGCCATAAGACTAAAGCAGTGGTGTTTAACGTGAGATTCGTGGGCCTCGATGAGACCGTAGCTAGACCGTAGCTAAATTCTGGAGGTCCATGAATCTGAATGTTATATCTGTTTCGATTCTTCAAATAATTATGAACAACTTCTATTTTGTACTGTTTCGGTTCTATGTCCGTTTCAAAACAATTACATTTAAGGAAATATTATTTTTAGGATTGAAATTTATTGTTTCTTTCTCGTTTTATAGCCAATGATAATCAAATTTTAGACGACATTTATAATTATTAAACAAGTTAATAAGTGCTATTTTCTTTTTTCGACCACATAAAAGTACAAAGTATCGCACTTTACACATGCATATTAACATTTTTCTAAAAACAATAATAGTATAAAGCAAACCTACGTAACAAGGAATGACACAGAACCGAACTTCAGTGAAGTTCTCTCGGGATGACACAATAATATGTACCTGAATCTAAAGTCTACTCGAACAGTGGGTATTGTACATTCGAAAACGTTTTAACGACCCAATTCAACTCGACTCGATTCGAATCTCGGAGAACCCGGACGCTCTCAGAGATCATAATTCTCGTTCCCCTGAGTCTGGAGATCCTGAAAGAATTGCCCGGGGAGACAACTTCCATCGGTGTTCGTCGAACGATTTCATCGATCCGCGCTGTCGAAATCGACGAGGGTCTCGGGCAATCGGTCGAAGAAGCCTTTCGAATCGCCGAAATCACATTCATGAGGAACGAATTTGCGGGTTCGCGGTAATCGAATATCGGTACTGTGGGAATATCGGTGTCGTATCATTGTTTTCAGTCTCCGATGGGACGCGGCATGGATCGTAAATCAGCGGGGCGACGGTAGCTAAATGGATACGAGAAATTCCAAGCCGGCGAGACGCGAATGTTGGCCATACTAACTGTACCAAGCATCCGGGCAATCCGATCCTCGAACCACCGGCCGTGAATACTGCTCCTTGGCAGGCTTCCTGACAGGGACACTTTTTTCAGTTTCGTTTTTGGCGGGCTACGCCAACTCTGCTCGCTGACCTACTGAACTACGGGGGGGGTGGCGGTGATTTCTGAAGGTGACCGGGAAATTGCTGCGCACGGACACATCTTGGGACTGGTCTAGTCTGTTACGACACTTCCCGCGCTCGCCGGTAGAGGGATACGCTCAAATTGTACCTCTCTCGCAAGTACTCTATCGACCACGTACAGGATGTTCCACATTTTTTCGTACACACTTCAGCAGTGTTCTAGATGTAACTCTAAGACTAAAATGTTATGTAACAAAAAATCCATAAATGCTTTGTAAAGAAATTATAACAAAAATATGAACTATGGAACTCGGTTGAAATTTATAATAAAATAATAATTCGATATCGTGAGTTTCTTTGCAATTTACTGAACATAAGCTTGAACAATGGTTAAAAATTTTAAAAAGTTATCATCGATAAAAGAATACTTCAGCATACAACTTAAATGATATAAAATGAATATAAATAGAAAAGAATAGAATAAATTAAGCTAGTCAAGTTATGTGATTCATCCTGAACAGCGACAAGAATATCTAAACGAGGCTGAGAACCGTCAAAGAAGTCTACTTCGTTATCATGCAGGACATTTAATTATTCATAATGAATATTCTCGGTGACTCTACGGACGAGAATAAGATAAAAAGTAAGAGTGACATGATTATTAAACGAAACGTCAGGATACGGGATTTGTCTTCGTGGTCAATAAAGTGTGTAAAGTTTAGTCGACAATTTGGGGCTTTGAAAGCCGCGAAACGCGTCCATGCACAAACTAACTTACCGGAAGTTTAAATGTATATGCTTTGGAACCTCCTGAACTTAATGCTCGCTTGGAATTGTACTGGTGGATTCGAATAATATAGACAAAACAATTAAGCCATTGACTAAAACGATACTTGAACTCTGTATTACTTTCTTCGAAAGAAAAGTATCGAATTTCTAATACGGATTCAAACCAGAGTCTCTTACTAATGGGAAGTGAGCTAAGTTAGCTTGTGTATGAGGTGGGGTATAGAAATCAATACGTATTCAGAGTTTCTAGTCGTAAATCATCGGCATACGGGCGCTCAGAGTAACTCTTATTCAAGATTAAACTGACTTCGACCGAAGGGACGAATACGATTAAATCTTGACGTAGTTCTTGACATTATTAGAGGTAGTGACATAGGGTGCCAGTACGTCATCCGTGATATCCGAGAGTTAGGTCACGAACCACTATTACGTCGAATGATGCAAATGAGGGTTAATATTTTCCAGATTTACCTGCTCGCTGAAAGATATTACAAATTGGGTGTAATTCGTTGATCGTGACGTACCGCCAAAAAAAAAGCTGAAGGACCCAATAAGGTCTGAAGTATCGTGCTTACGCGAAAAGAAGGCTAGATTATATTGGCAATTTCATATAATTACGATCTAATTACCATCTAATTGCACTGTAATCAAAATTGTGAATTTTTGAAACCTGAAAAAGCTATCCAATAACTGTAATTTTATCATACCAAATATAATACCAGATTATATTTTATCTAACTGTGAATAAAAGCTACTTCATCCATCCAAACTGTACGAATTACAGAGTATCGTTTCGATCGCCATAAACTTTTATATTCAATGAATTACCCAGACAGTTGCAGGCAGGATACCAAACCTGTTATGGTATTGGTTTGGGTTCCCAAAACAGTTATGGAAACCTCAATGATGTGATAGCTGTCGTAAGTGAAAATGGTTCTCGCATATATAGGTTCCGGTTCCAGTTCTACCTTCTACCGTATCGGTTTTGTATTGATTCCAAATCGAAACTAATCCAGTATCGACAAATTTTAACTACCTTGTTACTGTATCTGAATTATTTCCTTCGTTTACTTCCAACGTGATGCGAAAGAGCACTTGTCACGATATGAAAAGTTCACGAGTACGAAAAATGGATTTTACGTTGAAATAATTGCTTGTAGAATCTGAATTAATATGATTCATTTTTATACACCGATGCAACTAAAATATGCAACTACTTTAAATGGAATTCTGTAATTTTTATTACACTATTCGTTGCAGTTTTTTAATCTCTACCAAAAACTATTGAGATATTTATGATCTTCAGCTAATAGTACATTGAATGATGCAAATGGGGGTTAATAATTTATAGAATTATGTTATTGCTAAAAGACAATCGAAATTGAAATATACACGGTGTGTTCAAAAATTTTGTGGCATGACTTTTTTCCTCTTACACCAATAACGTTGCAGCTCTTTTTTAGCCTAGTAAAGCTAGACTTGCGATGATGAAACCAATAAGATTCTCCATCGCGACAATGCACCGTTGCAAACAGCATTCGCCATTCGTGGGTTTCTTGCAAAATGTAATATTACCTTTCTCGATCATCCGCTCTATTCCCTTAACGTATCTCTGTACGACTTCTTTCTATTCTAAAAAATAAAAAATACCCCGCGAGGACAGCATTTTGGGGTTGGAAACACGAGTCAATTAGACGCGACAAGACTATACCAAATGTGAAACTGCAGAAATGTTAAGAACAATAGAAACAACACTGAACTAAATGTGTCGATTTTAATGGGAACTACTTTGGATTTTTTTTAACATTTTCCAAGATTTTTCTGAATACACCACGTTTAATGAATGATTTTAGGCTTCCAGAAGTGGCACAGAGTCTTTTCATCGAGCACTGATCGCGTTATCTTCGAGTAATTGAACCCTTCACCCCCCTCCCTCGTCCCTCACTTTCTAGTTCACTCCTCCTCTCCATTTCGCATCTGTTTCCCGGTATATCGTATCTTTAGCTACCGCCCCTAGATAATAGTAGACATCGTTGTATTCGAAAAGCTTGCAAGCGCCATTTTCACTCGGTTCTCTTTCCGACGCAGAGGAGCGATTACAAAGGAACTCGTCCATTGGAAAATCTGACGCTTAAAATGTTTATTCCATTCTGGTATTTCGGGCAACCATTCCGATTCATCGACTCTTTAGAAAATACTTTGATATCTCGACAAAAATAACGCGTTCAATTTGAATCCGTTTTTTGGCAAAGTTGGGCAAATTCTATTCACGATTAATAAATAAAAATTGCAGATCCGAGTCAAGCTTCGCTCGCTTTGATATAAAGTTTTAAAAAAATTATCGCCAATCCGGAAATTTAAACAACTCTGAAATTTTTTAATTATTTCTTAAATATCCATAATATATCTAAAATCCCTGTACTGTCTTATGTATTTGGCGGAAGTGTATTAGAACGCCTCGATGGTGGGGATGAACACCGAGCGTTCATGTTGTAGATCCGTTGGAGCATACAGGGTGTCCCCTAAATAGTGTAAGAACGTTCATTGTACCTAGTAGTGAATATTCAAGTACTCACGATTTTATGATGAAGATGTTGGAGTTCCCTCTCGGTGACCCTTCTCCGCGACAATTCGCGCTGTTCTCGCCTGTACTGGCTGTACTTGTAGAAAAGGTACATGCCAGGAAGTGCTAAGACGACCAGCGGCCTCATCAAGCCAGCTCGCCCGCTGCCCCCGCGAACTCGAGGCTCTGGTGGCTCATCCAGGTCCTCCAATTGGGCAGCAGCCTCGGCCACAGCCGGTACAGCTGGCATGATCGATCACCTGAACACGATCGGTATCATTCGAAACAGTACAGGAAACACGTGACAAAATGTTTAACACACAAATTTCTAATCCCTACCGAACGAAATCCATTTCAATGCATCTATAAGACTAGTCTATAAAGAGTAACATTAATTAGTAATTTTAGTTGGAAATTATTATTGTACGCGCGAGAGAAGAAAGATCGTTTGGATATTGACTAATTAATGACATTGTATCTGATTGTTACGACGTTAGACAATGGTCTGCACCGGTATATTGTACTCCATTGAGGATATTGAAACGCTACGGCCACTGTTCCAATTACACGGGACGCGTTCCACACAGAAACGTGACATCCAAGTCTCGTAAAGGATCACTTCTTCGATACAATTAACCCTCGTCCTGCTACCTGTTATTGTTGTCGAAGTTGACACTTGTATACAGGATATTTCAAAACAGCGGGACAAACTTAAACGTGCAAAAGGCTCCGATATCGGGATTAGAAGCAGTTAAAACGCGTATGCGCATGCGCTCAATCAGCTGACTCAGATACAAATGGCGGGCGCAAGGAATTGCATCAGAAATTTAACCGTTTAGATCTCGAGAACGACGCATCCGATTATAAAATAGTAAAAGACTTTTCGATTTCTCTTCTCTCGACGAATTTATATGTTCCGTTTTGAAACGACAGTTTTTGCAAACAATATTTTATATAACATCGAAAAAACAATTCTTATTGTCATAATTAATTAATTTGATTTCTTCAGTGTCTCCTTTCCTATATTTAAACGTCTTCTCATTTTTGCAATATTTGCAATACGTTTTCTTTTCTGACCTCCTTATTTGTTTCATTACCTTTTCTTACGGTTTGGTTAAAATTGTTACACACTCGACTATTTTATGTACATATTGAACATATGTTTTCACATATATCTTTTATTAGATTAAAAAATATTTCGAGACAATACCAATATCGTAACTCGACATAAAATCTTGTTCCAAAACGAGGACACCGAAACTTTTACCGTGGACCAAATTGCCCTTCGCCCGCGGGGTTAAACTGCACAAGACATAGTGTATCGTTCAAACTATCGCTCCTTAAATCCCTGGAACTGCAATACCATATAACAAAGCAAATGGCTCGCCGAGCTGACCTGCACAGTTATTCGACTCCGGACAAGAAAAACGATATTCCGTGCAATGATTCGACGTTTTCAACTTTTCCCAGGCTTTTTTCGAAGCGCAGATAGGGACTAATACAGAGGATCCGAAAAGGCCGGATAACCGTTTGCTCGTTCGCGCGAAGAATTTCAGTTTTCTGATAGAGTTCGGTAAGCGAACGACGAATTTTAGGTCACCAAGAGACGACTGGGTATTGGATTTCCATCAAATCATTCTTCCTTTTTTTTTTTTTTTTCACAATTCCTCGTCTGTGCGAGTCGTCGAACAAGGCGTAGGTGTATATCGCGCGCGACTTTACTTCCTCATTTTTCGATATTTATAATCCTCGTTAATGTCGCGCGGGGAACATCTGCGACGAAATAGCTTTCCGTTGCAGATGACTGCGACGAAAAGGTACCCGTTCGCCAATTATTTCAGCCCGGGAACATTTCCGCGCGAGCTCCGCCGCCCATAAAACAACGATATCGACGAGATCTTCCGGCCCAAATGAGTACGAACCTCCGTACAACGAGCGCTATCTTCGCGAACGACCTACTGGAAAATATATCTGGGTACATCGATAGTGATGATATCAACAGCAGGACTTCTGACACAGGTTCGCCTCGTTCGGAGACCTCCGCGGAAGCCTGTTTGTTATCAAAGTGCTCCAACAATCTCCGCTGAAAACTTATTCCGCACCGCTCGCTGCGATCAAAGCTGAGGCGAACAGGCCTTCTGTGCTCTTTGACTTTTCAGAGAATGGGAATCTAATAACAAGATGTCATGACCTTTTTCATTAGAAAGGAACCTAATAATCTTCGCTATTCGGTGAAACAAATCTGAGCAGGACAGGTCTACCCTTTAAGTGTTTGGTTCCTCAGAGAACAGGATTGTAATAACGAGAGGTTTTCATTTTATAGGTTTAAGCGAACGCTAAATCTATTCTCAGTGTGACACAAAGTCGATTATAACGTCTCCAAGGATCGAGGAATGTAAAAGCTTAGTCCATCCGAGCTAAGGGCATTCAATAAGGATTCTGGCTTTCAATGCGAATCAAACGTGAAAAGGATAGATTTGTCTCTTTAATTCGTGGCTTCGGGAAATCTCCATAGACGCCTGTTCATTATGAAAACACGCAACAATCTTTATCGTTCAATAAACTTATTTTGCTCGACTCGCTGCGAACTACACTTGGGAAGAACAAATCTCTCCCTTTTGATCTTGGACTTCTCAAGGAACGTTGATTTGTGTAATAACGAGAAAACTTATGGCGGGTCTGTTCTTCAGAGAATTCTATGAAAGTCTGTTCATTGACAAGATACTTAACAATATTCGCTATTCCGAAAATACATTTTACTCTGATTCTTGTCTTCTCAAGGAATAGGAATTTGATAACAAAGTGTATCCATATTCTGTAGATTCCAATAGGAGTCTGTTCATCATCAAGTTACTCAAGAATCTCAAACTTTCTACACAACTTATTCTGCTCTGATTGTTTTAAACAAAACTTGAGAGGAACAGATCTGTCGCTTTCGATGTCTGACTTCTCGGAGAAAGTAGATTTAATAGCGAAGAAGTTTATATTAAATCTGTCCTTCGCAGAACTTCGGAAGATTTCACTGTCAAAGTACCGAACGATCTTCACTTTTCAGTCCCATAGCTTCGAACGAAGTACAGTTATGTTTCTTTTGATCTTCGAATTCTGAGGGACCACGAATCTGTTAATTGGGAGGCCTGTGTTAGGTCTGACCAACAGAGAACTTGGGAATCCACCGTCAAAGTACTCGCGAATCTTCAGTTACCCGTAAGCTTATTCCGCTGTACTTGTTACAAGTGAAACTTGAGGACAGGTCAGTGGAAAGGAGCCTTGTCCTTTCAGGGAGCAGGAATGTAATAACGCGGAGAGCCGGATAGCGACGGTAGCCGTCCTAACGGACTTCCGTGACTTCAATGAAATTTCGTAATCTATTTGCCGGTCGTTCACCGACTATATTTAATTCAACCGCCTATTTGCCGTGCTATTCTTAACCGGCTGCTCTAGAAATACACGCCCGCTCTATATCGCCATCCGCGCCTGGGTCGTACACCCTTCGTTCCTCGCAGTCTGCACGGGGATAAGATAGTGTCTGTGCTGCGGGCAACGATGGTGTAGCGATGGGGTCGATCCGATTACGCGCAGTCTGCGAAGCAACCTGGGGTATCGCTTTCATGATGCCGTCGCGTCATTACTTGACGGCTAAGCACCCAGTTTGTCGAGCTTTTCACCCTGAGAGACGGAACAGTCGGGATTCCCGATCGAACGCCTCAGCTACGACGAGTACGCGTCGACGAAGCCGCTGTTCTCGTTTTCTTGCGAACCGACACGAAACTACGTTCCCCGATAACGCTACTAACACACCATGTAAGATCAAATAAATCTTTGGCGTAACAAAGAATTTCATTTACTTCTGACACACTTTGCGTGCCTTTATCTTTTCCCAAATCATGAAAATCATAGTTCAGGTCGAGCCCACGTAACTTGAATCTTTCCTTGTCAGAAAAAAATGATTCTTTCCCGCTTTTTAAGCCAATGTGATCTTTGCTCGGCAAACTCTAATCTTGCTTGTTTGTGGCGGCTGGTTAGTGGCGGTTGTTTCATCGTTTTACGTCTCCTGAACTTTTTATTATTCTTTGCACGGTCATTGCGTTTGTTTTCACACCAGCTTATGCTACCACTTGTCTTATCGCCAACGTGAAGCTTGTTTTAAAATGACTCGTCGTTCTTTCGATCTTGTAGACTTTGGGCATCTTGGATTTTTTTTTATCAATTATGAATAACACAGCGATTCCTTCCTAATGTCTTTGAAATGTCTGCTATTGAACAGTTTCTATCTTTTACATTTTTGATTCTGATAATTTTCTGATAATAAATGAAAAAAAAACTGGTACACTCGCAATATTCTTTTAGGTATTAAACAATTAATATTAATCATTTTCTTGCGTCATACTATTCACGCTGCTTGTTCAACGGAAACTGTCTTATAGTTTTTTAATATACCTCTGAACTTCAAAAGTTTAGAAAACTTGTCACGCGACTAAAACTACCCCGAATTTAAAGATTAAAACGTCCCTTTTACAAGCCATTCCCCTTAAAAATTGATGCATCATGTTTTCGTAATTTGGTTGTACTTTGAATGAGCAGTGTCGGTATCCAAGGGTCCAAAGTATTAAATCAGATCTGTCATATTTGTAGAAAATGAGACATTTATTCCAGATGGAACATTTCTGCTTTCAATCCAAATTCATATTCAACTTCTAAATCATACCTAACCCAGACCTTATAATACTCAATAAAGTGAAGAATTAATTTTCAAAATTGTCCACTACTATTCTTTATAGAGTGAACAAAATGAGCAGCAATCTTGTATTTGTCAGACATATTCCTTCCATTTTCTCATTTGTTCAAAAATAACTTTTAAATTCGTATCATTTTTTAACTCAATGAATTTGTCAAATAGTTTGCATAATTGCATTGTGTGTGTGTTGTTTCTAAGTTCCAAGGATTTGCTACAATCAACAGACAATTCTTAATATTCCATAAATCCTGAAGTTCTTAAATACCTCGAATCAGACAACTAAATATCTACATGCAAGAGATATGTGTTCTCATAAATGTATCTGCAACGAGCGTCAGTGTTTCAGGCCGTGTATAAAGGCTTGGAGGGCGGTTGAGTATCATGGCTGCCCTAAGTCACCAGTGTTTAAGATTTCAGTAGACAATTTCAAAGACGGTTCGCGTGGAAGAGAAATATCGCGGGATTGTTTATTCTGTCTTACGAGGATCGCGACGGAGTCTGTACTTATTGACGTTGGCTGACCGTTTCTCTCACCCCAGAACAAACATCTCCGCCGAATGTTTGCCAAGAAGTTTACCAGCTCGCGCTCGGCAATCAGGAAATATGCCATTGCGAATGTTTCATCGATTAATTACGCGACATCACGGTCAAGATGATGCTACATCGTCGGGAGATCGTCCCGTCGCTTTGACTCGAGGAGCTCGATAACGCGGCATCGATTGTACGCTGTCTAATGCGCTAATTAGACCATCCATGCATCGTCCATCCTCAAAGCATTGCGACAATCGAGGACTCGAAACGGTAAACGGTTACTCCGATAGCGTCCGTTGGAAGATGACAGGTTTGCCCGGTGCGTAGACAACACACATACCTGTGCACGCGTTATCACCTTGGGAGGTAATATATTATCGGAAATGAATCAATATATCGACTCGTTGTTGTACGCTCAGCGCTCGACACTATGAAAACGTACACCACCTCGGGGATTCGTCGCGTTTCTGCCAAGGGCAAGGTCGTTTACATGTAATTTGTCTGCCCCCCCCAAGTCCTGACCAGCCTGAAATCCAGCTACACGTGATAGTTGGCTGGCCGAGCTAAACCCTAACTCATCGTCCGATCGAATGGCGTTCGAAAGTTCTGGTAACGGTGAAAGCGTATCTATGAGATTGGGACACGTGACACGAGAATCATAATCGAGGATGTCCCCAGGAATTAGCCGAATCACGCGAGAAGCGCGGCTCGATAAGACAGAGTTCACGGTGAGAGTGGTAGTATGACGTTCGGAGAAATTATTACGCTATTATCGCGAGGACTATCGCTCTGATCTAATATTACACGTACGTATGCGTTTCGCCTTGACATGTCGCAATGGCGGTCGCAAGAACAAGGACACCCGACGCGGCAGGATAACATCGTACCGGATAGGCTACGGCCAAGTACACTTCCTGACGACTTCTATTTTTATGCCATTTTCCGTTGTTCGGTACCGTTCGATTGCCGTGTTGCGCGATTAGGATCGATCCGCCCGCTCTATCCTCGTCCTCACGTGACTCCGTGGCGAAACCCGACGACGTGACAGGGTACGCGTTCGATTTTTATCGTTTCGATTCATCGTGTACGGCGGTCTTCGCTCCAAAGAGCTACGGGATCAACGAACGAAACGATCACCAAACGATTCGTGACTGTAAACTAAATACAGAAGCGTGGCGCATCCTTTAAGGATCGATGTGATATCAATTGATTGCAATGACTCTGAAAGGGAAACACCATCCACTACCATCCACGCATACACGAAATATTGCAACCAAACAAATGGATATATCGTCCCATTGCGGCGTTCGAGTTCATCAAATCATCGAGAGTAAACATAACGCGCCGGGTAGAATTATTGTGCGCCGTTGTACACATCGAACCGTTCTTTCCCATTGTTTCAACGATCGTAAGTCAAGATATTATCGGATTTTAAGAGGCATGGAAATTCGATGCAATTAACCGCTTTTAATGCAACTTAAGTGATTCCCAACTTCGACGATCGATTGTCCGGTAACAACCGGGGTACGGAAAACGTGCGGCATAAGGTTTCCGATAACGTTATTCCACTTTTAATTATTTGCCGGACCGTGAGACCGTTGCTTCGAACCAGTTCACTTTCTGGACGTCAAGACCAAAACAAATGCGATCGAACCGCGCGCGTAAACACTAAGACGCGAGAAAGGCACCAGCGAAGTACATCGTCGGAACAAAGGACGACGCGGACTTCCTGGAGCATCGAGAGTGACAAATTTCTTCCGTTATCGAGCCCTTACTGTATCGCAATTGGCGCACGTAGTTTCGCCGTGTCGATCCCGTTTCCACAGAACAAACGCACACCTCGTACTTCGAACCGTCTACATACATGTCGTCGTTCATCTTCGACGAGGATGAATCGTAACCTTCGATCGTTTACCAAAAGGTCTCGCACTCGGAACTAGCAACTAGATGACACTATAATCATCGCGGTGCACTTACGTCGTCGTTTGCTGGCTCCTCGACGGTACTCGTGATCGCGCGTGCTTGTCAGCGAAGCGTGGAACGACGACGTACAAGAACCCGGGGGAAGAAAGTGCGTCGAGTACGAGGAGAGATCACGAAAAAAAAGAGACCGCCTGCGCCGGCGACACGAGCGTCCCTCGTGCGCTCAGCTCAGCCGAAACATCGCCGAGCCGCGACTGTGTTGGCGGTGTACCGGCGGCTGCACTGCGCGCCTGCAGCGATGCAAACCGCGCAAGAGCTCTGGTTCGTGACCGCTCGTGCGAGATCGGCCGTTTCCGTGCCCCGTCGACCGGACTCTCCGCCACCCGCTCGACCTCGATGCTTTTTGGCGGTCTACGAATGCACCTGCGCGCATCCTCCACGCGCAGGGTTGTATCTATGCAGAGGCTCCGACGCGTACTGCGCGCGCGCTGCACGCAGGGTTGTATCTACACAGGGGCTCTGTCACGGGAATCACACGATTCGAGGATCGCCGCGAACCTACGGTACGAGCGCAGGGTTGTATCTACGGTCAGGATCCCGCGGATCGAACGAACAGAAATTTAAAAGGTTCAAAAAGGAACTCTTGTACAGGGTGTTAGGTTACCCCTGGGAAAAATTTTAATGGAAGATTCTAGAGGTCCAAATAAGACGAAAATGAAGGATACCAATTTGTTGTTTGAGGCTTCTGGCAATTGAGGCAATTTTATAATCGACACTCATTTCATCGATGATTTTTATCCGCAATGTATCTAATGTAGTATTTAACGATATAGAGTAATTTCATTTATTTACATAGTTCCTTGACACCGTCGTAAATATTTACGTTTCTTCCTTCTCAGGAACTTCTATTACAAACTATTTCTAAATTATCAATTTATGGGAATTGAAATTTCCGGTTAACCTGCTTAAATTTAATTTAATCGAGTTGAGATGGATACTTTGGAACAGCTTTCTATATTAAAATTGTAGACAAAAGGGAGGCATATACGTGACAATAGCCGTAAAGAAATAAGATAAAAGAGAAGAGTACATAGAATGCAAGAAGAAATCTAATGTCTCGGAAAAGTTATTAGCCAATGAGCAGATTCTATTAAATGAATCAGAGGTAAAAAGTGTAGAAGAATAAAAGGAAGACCGAAACAATCTATACGACCTCGTTGGTCGAGAAAGGACATTAAAATGGATAAAGGCAGTGACCTGAGGATTGTTTGCCTTCTCATTGATCATTTTATTCAGTACCAACGAATAAAATTTTTAAATTCGTTCGCGAACTAGCTCTTCGCCACGTTTTTTGCTCGTCTAAATGCAGGTTTAAAAAATCCGTTATTGGATTCCAACTTGCAAATAAAACGCAAATGAAAGATAGTTTACAAATGAATCTAAAGTTTGTATTCGTTGTTTGCAAATAAAATTTGCCCACTCTGGTCACGGGTATGGCAACCTCATTCAGATGAGTAGACAGAGCAGGACAAATTTTATTTAAAAATGCTAGATTCGCTCGTAAGCTAGCTTTTGTCACCTGAATATTAATTTAAAAAATTCCTTAATAGATTCTGATTTATAAATGCAATTATGTGATTAAAATTTGTCCAATACAGCACGTAAAACATTTTTGGAGGCTTTTCCGCATGTTCGATCGATCTTGTTTCTCGTTTATTTTTTTCGCATAGAACAAAACAGCGTCAATAAAATTTGCAATTGATTTTCTGGTCTGGATGTGTTATAAAAATCAGCTTTTTTATCTTCATTTTCTTAAAGTATACCTATTTGAAAACATATTTGCAGAAGGATTTGTTTCAATTTGAAAAATTGACGAGGTTACAACTGTTTGAAGAGTACAGTTTATAGCTGTAGCGTACGGTCGCAAAACTTTAAACGTGTTTTTCTCGAAACAAAATTTCTTGAACTGGTGTGCACAATATCTCAAGTTCTCTAGTTGATTGAATGGCTTGAAATTTATATAAAATCTTCAGAAAACATATCACTATTACATGAAAGTGGCATAAGTCATATATTTTTCATATTATATTGAATATTTTTATATGAAAAAGATTGTGACTATTGTTTGAATAGAAATCCAAATGAATCAGCTTGAAATTGATGCAAAAATATTTTACCGTTTCCCCCCAAAAATTCCAAAAAACCACTAAAAAATTGCCTTCTAGAATAGAACACCCCCTTAGCATGTTCTCAATTTATTCTCTCTTCGACACTAATCAAAATAAAATGAAGACATATCAAACCTACTGTCCCTTACGATATACGCCATAAAACTACTAACAATTACATCCTGTGTAATAACAACAAACATGAACAATCATATACCTCTAAAATATCGAATATTTTTATACGTAAAAGATTGTGGCTATTGTTTGAATATAAATCCAAATGAATCTGTTTAAAAATTGACGCTCCCTCCCGCAAAATTCCAAAGAACCACTAAAAAATTTCGTTCTGGAGTAGAGTACCCTCCTAAATAAATATTGGAGACGTTGGGTCAAGAATGGATTTATTTACAAGTTATGAATTTGGTCCCGAGTTTTACCATTCCGCTCCCTCCCCCAAAATTCTAAAGAACCACTAAAAAAATGCATTCTAGAGTAGGGTACCCTCTCAAATAAATATTGGAGACGTTGGGTCAAGAATGGATTAATTTACAAGTTATGAATTTGGTCCCGAGTTTTACCATTCCGCTCCCTACCCCAAAATTCCAAAGAACCACTAAAAAATTGCATTCTAGAGTAGAGTACCCTCTTAAATAAATATTGGAGACGTTGGGTCGAGAATGGATTAGTTTACAAGTTATGAATTTGGTCCCGACTGGTCGGTTGGGGCACCAGGAGTCGATTATCCGTGGTTGCGAGGGTACCACCGAGTGGCCGTGCAACTGGCTACGTGACGCAATGCGTGAAGCACCGTACAACCACCGATCGAAGCAGTTCTGTCGGCGTAGTGGCCGGGTACCCACTGAGGTTGTACGAACACCGTCGGTGATTCCTGCCGACGATGCTGCGCTACTGCTGCCAGAGGATCGATAAAGGGAGGAGGGATAGAAACCACCCCGGGAAGAAACGAGGGAATCTGCGCCCTCTCCCCCCGTTTCTCTCTGGGCATACTCTCCCTCGCCCACAACGCATGACTGTTTGGTAGATCCGCTGATGCCGGTCTATTCTCCGGTTCCCTCTTCCACCTGGCCTACCCTCCTTTCCCCTTTCTACTCTACTATCACTGCTTTTTTTTCTGCTCTGTCTCTGGAATACTGGTTTCATCTCCCTTGGGACGTGCCGGTGCGATATTAGGGTTAGTGAACTTTGGATCGACATACATAAGCCTCCGCGTAGGTACAGCGCCGGGCGGACGACTTCGCAATAATGAAACCTCTGTTTCCAATTCTCCTTTTCTGGTATTCCATTTCGTACAGTTTCGAGCATGGTACAACCTAAGAAAAGTTATGGTCTGACGACTGTTTATTTATTTTTTTATTTCGTTTGAATAGACATCAAGTGCGTGACGCAATCTCCTAAGAGATCTCATCGTTTCTATATGTATTTATGAAAATAAAAATACTTCATTCGACGCCCCTTTGCTCCCTTTTCGTAGGCCTCGAGCAGAGGCGTAACATCGCATAAAATAACGTTCAACGAATCCTGCAGTGGCATCCGAAGATTCAATGTATCACTTTCTATCCGGACAGTGTAGTCCGTAACGCTGAACGTTTCTCTTAAATAATTCAGCAACAATTTATCAGGAAACACTTGCTTTCTGCCAACCTTGGCAACTTACGGGAAAATAAATGATTCCGCGCGGGGAAAGTAGAGGGAATAAAGGGCGAACAGAAGCACGCCATTCGCTGGCGATTCGCGTTCCGGGCATCGTGCAACCACAGAATCTGGGGGGACCTTCGAATTCCGATTGACGAATTTGACATTTTCCATGTCGTGGCACGAACGTTCCGCGCGTTTCATCGCAGTTTCGACCAGTTTTATCCGTTGGATCGAGCAAGGCGAAACTGTAATCACAATGGAATCGTGTTATTTACACGAAGAGGTTGGTTCCAATGCGGAGGAAAGGTCAGGGCAGCTACGCCCTCGCATAGTTGGTCCATGCTTCCATCAACGTCGCAAATTAGTCTGTTATTTGCAATCTGCCGGCTGTGTGTACAATGCGTTGCTATAGAATCGACGCACAGTCCGGGTTACCAAAAACGCAAACTAACGTCAAGCTTTACTGTATAGATTAAATCTAGACGCGTATAAAAGTCACCTGGAATTATTTTCAAATCTTTTGATAACGAGAAAAAACTTGTTTTTAATATCGTTGTGGTACTAACAAATGGTCTTTTGGAAACGGTTTAGAAAAGAAAATAAAAACGATATTTTAACCTTTTCAAATTACACCTTCCTGAATTTCTCGTTTCTTCATTTAGAACTATAAAACAGATCAAATGAATGGATACCTGAGACCTTACGTAAAATAACCACACAAAAATAATTTGCATCTCTAAAAGTTATAACATATATTGGGACAATAGCAGGGATAATATACTATAAATAATAAAAATAGTTACTACCAGTTAGATCGAGATTGCTCAAGTAAATTGTTATATTGGAACTTGATCGTCTAAATATTACCGAATTCTTAATTTTTACTCGCGTTTACAGATAAAAGGTAAAAATATACATGAACAAAGTTTGAAAAAATTGTTAATCGAAAAGCGTATCAAATCTCCCCTACTTTTCGCTTCAGCGTTTGGGATAGGACGATGGCGCGCTCGGTTGCACAGGGACGATACGAGGATGTCCGATAAACCGGGGAATAAAGAAGGAGCCGTTGATAATGGTACATTATGAACGAAGCTCCGAGGGACCCGTCTGGTTTGTGTGTCGCAGCAATTCAGCGCACGCCTGTAACGAGTACGAGTTTCTGACGTACCCTCGAAATAACGAGGCCTCCGAACAAAAATGCAGAGGTTCTTGTGCTACCGGGCTGCTACCGAAGAGAGTGTCGTTACGTAATAATATCTCTAAAAATTCAACGTGTTACTGCTCCCTCGCGCGAGGGTGTCGCGAACAGGCAGCTTAATCCTCTCAAGAGTACACTACTCCTTCTTTTCCGCCCCTATCTCCGGCCG